CCAGGTCTCCACGAAACCCCACCGGGCCCCCACGACGCCCCCAGTAGTTTCAAAAAGACCGCCAATGATCCCCAGGGGTCCCAAAAGGTCCCCCCTTTCTACGTGGTTCGTACTGTCTTAGCCTTCGCGCATTGCCAGCTTCGGACACCCCATCAGGTCGCCAGGGCCTCCCCTGACGACCCCCAAACCCGTCCAAGAGGACCTAGACAAATACCCAAAACGACACACGAGGCTCCGAAAGGACCCCTGGGACCGCCACGCGGCCCCACAAATGCGTTCCTCCTCCTCTTCCTCCTCCCCGCCCCCGTCCGCCACACTCGACTTCGTCACCCATCGCCCTCCTTCCCCTTGCTGCATCGCCTGGCTTCGCCGGCAAGTCTCCCGTTCCATGTGGATTTTCTGGTCTCGGTGCCGCGCGTGTCGGTGGCTCCGCGCACACCCGGCTTTGCTCCGCACCTAATCCCATGGAGAGTGTTCCAGACAGAGCTTCGTATTCGAGGACTTCCAAAGTTGTCTTCTCGCCCTCGGCGGAGGCTGGCAAAAGGCCCGCGGAAGCTGGCGGATGTAAGCGGCTATCGCTGTGGCCAGCGCATGCCAGCGGACGCTGGGTTGAACCCCCCGAAAGCCAGTTGGGCTTTCCAAGAGAGGTCGACGCTGACCACCGTAACGTCCTGGGGCTTGCATAGCGGAGTGCATAATCGACGATCGGTGTGCACGCATCGATCCATGGGCCCCTCGAGGTCTGCACGCCTCGCCCAGAACAGGCTGCCTGGCGCTCGCAATGAACCCCCACTCGCCCGAGGACCGCCCATACACAGTCACCAGACGGCCTCAATATGGCCCAAACCATTCCGCACCCCAATTAACAATGAACGTGTAGAGAGGGCCCCCTCGCGGCACAAACATCTCAACGGTCGCGCGAACCAACCTCTCCATGCATGGCCGCCCCATGTGGTGATGTGCGCATCGTTGCGATGCATGTCGTTTGCAATGGCTCGCGTCGAATTGCAGTGCGTTGCATTGTCGTCGCGTTACAGGTCAACGCCAATAGTTCACATCGCGCTTCTATTGCGACCTATTGCATTCGTTTCACTACTGCGAAGGCCTTACGGCCGGTGCCGCCGACCCTGAAAGGGAACGACGACGGCGGCGGCGACGACGACGACGCTAACGTGGATCAGAGTCCTCAGAACTGCTTCTCGGGGTCTCTTCGGAACGCTCTCGGGGGCCTCTGGGGAGCAGTCCAGGGGCTCTTGGGAGCCTCTTGAAAGCGCTTGGGACTTCCTGAGGGCCTCTTGGGGGCCTGTTGGAACCTCTTGGGGCCATCCTGGGGCTTCTTGGGGCCCCCATGGCATCCTCTCGGGGCTGAGGGCAAATTTTCTCGGACCAGTGGCCACCGCCACAGCCATGAGAACGGGTGGCACGTTTTTCCAGGATCGAGGCTTCGCGAAAGCCTGCAGGAATGCTTTTCCCCTCCCCTGGCAGCGAAGGTCGCCCCCAAACGAATTCACTCCTCCCTCCTTATCCTCCTCCCCTGGTGTAGCCACTTTGGCCCAAGCCCAATGGAGGCCTTCTGGTCTTCCTTTTGGCTCGTGCGCTGCACGCGCCAACTCGTGCGCGACAGCCTTTTCAAAGGCACTTTATCGAAATGCCACCTTCCGCCATTTTGGCGCGACCTGCAGCCGAGCAATGAACTCGTGCCAGGCACGGACGTGCACATGGCAACGCTGAGCCCAGCAGAGTTGAAGGCATTCGTTCTTGGTCTGCATCTCTTCCTGTTCCTCCTCTTCCTCCTCCTCGTCCTTTCCCCCCTCGCTCCTCATATTCCTTATTTTCCCCCTCCCTTTCCTCCCTTCCACATGCCCTTCACGAGGCCCTTTTTCCGGCCATCAACGACTGGCGGTCGGCGTCCGTGTCGTGGGACGACTGGGCTTCGTACAACGACGCCGCCGGAGACGAGACGTCGGGGCAACCGGACATCTTCGTCAAAACCATAGAACACGAAAAGGTGCGCTTGGAGATGGCTGACAAGACGTCGAGAGCAATCACGACCATTCTGGGCCGGGCCCCGTACCAGGCACGCGACTCCCTCGCGCTGGTTATGGAGTTCCTCCACAGCCCAGTGGCCCTGAAGATCTTGCAGGAGAACGTCGAGGACATTGCCGCGAAAAAGGGCGTGACCTCCAAGGTGGGCGCCGTGCTCGCCGCGCACACGGGCCACCCGGCAGACTTGGTGGGAACGAGCTTCAACCCGTGGGTCCTCGCCCACTCAAGGTTGAAAAAGTTGTCTGCCCGGAAGGCCCCGGGCCTCGGAAGAATCCCCAGCCATGCGACAATGTTTTTCTATAACAGCACTTGCCTTTCGCAACGACACGGCGGATGTGTTCCACACTCGTCAGGGGCAGTTTTTCCACGCACGTGTTATTATTATTTTCCCATGCCCCAAAATTTCCTTCGCCCCCCGTTCGCCCCAGCTCGCGCGGGCCATTCTGACGCCCGCCGCAGGCTGCCTCCGAGCTCAGGAAGATCGCCGCCAATAGCCGGCGATTCCAGGAGGCGGTGAACGAGCTGGAGCACAAGGGCGGCATGGTGGACAAGCTGCTGGCGGCCCCGGCGGGCGAGCTGGCCACCGTGCTTGCAGCAAGCCCTGGCTGGCGCAGCTTCCGGGCCAAGAACTTCTTGCGCTTCCGCCAGCCGACGAGTCGGTGCAGCGACCACGGCCGGTACGCCACCACGCCAGAGGTGGTCCTCGCGGGGTCTGGGCCGCGCCGGGTGCTCTCCCAGCGCCTGGGGACCACGGCGTGGGTGCCAGGGAAACAGGTCAGGAGCGTAAAAAACACACCATTCACACGCGTTAAATTCCTCCCACCCGCCCTACGTTTAATTCTGAAGGATCTGTTCATACAGATCACGCCTCCCCCGTACAGGGGGGAACGCGCGAATTGGCACGAACCCGGATCAGCGCCCACTGGAGAAAGAGCCCCTCGCGCAGCAATGTAGACCCGAATAGCAGTCATATTTTTTGGTGTGTTTTTTTCTGCTCCGTCGAAGGGCCGGCGCGCCCGGAAGGTGGCCGCCCTGGAGAGCAGCACCGCCGGCGCCCTTCAGCTCTGGTCCGCCCTGCTGCGACAGTGCGCTGGCGAGCGGGCCAAGGCGCTGGCGGCGGCGCGCAAGCTGGCCACGAAGCGCCACAAGACCCCTGCGCTGGAGCGCCTGCTGAAGTGGGCGGACAAAGCGCTGCTCCCGGACTACGGGATGCAGTTCGCTTTCTGCGAGGAGAGCCAGCTGCTCTCCCGGCTCGCAGGCCCGGCCCCCCCAGACGAGGAGGCCGGCGACGAGAGCGACGTGGCGGCGGGCGACGACAGCGATGCCGAGGTCGCTGCTGGGCCGGCCGCTGGTGGCGCGTAGGCCACGCGGGCCCTGGGCTGCGGCTGCCGCCCCTGCCTCTGGCCCCCCGCTCTCGGCTTTCGGGCAGAGGCCGCCCGCGGGGTTGGGCGGTTTCTGGAGCGGCGCCTCTCGGTGCGACGCGGACAAATTGCTTTGCCGCTCCCCGACGGCACCTTCATTATCCCTCTCCCTCCTCCTCTTCCTCCTCATGATCTGGCAGTCCTTGGAGCCGCAGCCCCCTGGTCTGTTTCCATATGTGATCGCAGGGCATCTCCGTTTGTCTCACCCCCATGCGCAAGTCGAGACAGCACGCCGCCCCAATGCGTGCCTTACCTTACCTTACCTCATGATATTCCTCCCTTCGCCGCGCCTCCCCAAATCGTCCTCCACTTCTTTCCCGCCCCTTCTGTCCGACGTTTTGTATTTCCGGAGCCTCCACGGCCGCTCTCATCGCCGCTGATCGGTCCGCTGGGACATTCTCATGGAGTCCCAGTGGCGCGCGGACCAGCAGAGCGAGGGCGCGAGCAAGTAAGGTGCAGGTCCGGGAACTGGGCGCGAACCAACCGCGGTTCAAAGACCGTGGAGGGCCGCGCTAGACGCCAACGCGCGCAAGGGTTGAAGGACCAAGGTGCATGGCGCGAAGCGCCAATGCAGTCTTGTATATATATATATATATATATATATGCGCATGTATGTGTATATATATATATATATATATATATATCCACCCAGAATGTGTCTACAGCAGGTCCGTGTCGCGTCGACCCAAACGTTGACTCCTGTCACCGCGGAGAATGTTCAGCCCTGAACGATCGACCGTTTCCGAAACGTCGGATCTTTCAACATCGACTGATTCTGGGTTGCCGGCGGCGTTCAGCGTTGAACGCCAGCACCGGGGTCGCCGCCGGTCGAAACGACGCGAAACTTTCCGTATCCTGGGCAAGACCTGCTGCAGATGCGTCGGGGAGACGGAACCATCCCTTCTTGGCCGAGGCGCTAGCGCTGGCTGGAGTCGGCGATCCAACTCTTATTTGCAGCATTCGAGCTGGAATGTGTGCCAGCGTGCAAGGTTGCCACAGCCGCGGACAGCACCACCTATCTCACCAATCTCCTTAGCTCTGGCTACTGGGCCTCGCCGAGGCGCTTGCCCATGGGGCCGCAGGCTCGCCGGGCTGCGAAGGGCCGCAGCCGGCGGGGCTGAGGCCAGCCGGCCGCGCGGGCCGGCGCGCCTCCTTTGCCCTCCCCTCTCCCCCCTCCCCCGCCCCTGCGCCCCTGTCGTTTGCGTCTGTCGTCCGTCGTTCGTCGTCGTGTCGTTTCCTGTCGTTGCCACTAGGCTCCTCTTGCGCTGGTATAAAAAGAGTACGCCTGCCGCCTCGTGCCTCTGCTGTGAGAGAATGCAGCAACGGGGCTGCTGTGTGGACCTCTCCGGGGGTGCGTGCTGGCGGAGATCTCGACGCGCATCCAGCCGCGGCGACGAGGGAAGCGCAGCGGCATCGGTACCATGCCCTCCTCTGTGTTTACGCCACTGTCTCTTCCTTCGGTGCCCTGGCGGCGGGGGCCGCCCGCCCGTGCGCGGCAACCACCGCCCCCCCCGCACCACGGCGGGCGCCGGCCTGCGGAAGAGGCCCTTGCCCTCGGCGTTCACGATGGCGGGCAGGCCCATCCCCCTGTCCCGCCGCCGCGCGCTCGTCGCGTCAGCGCGGTCGTGGGCAGAAAGTGGGAAGAAAGACTCCTCCTCCTCCTCCACCTCCTTCTTCTCTTTCTCCTCCTCCTCCTCCTCCGCCTCCTCTGGTGCCTCATCCGTGTGCGCTCGGGCCCTACTGTTCTTTCCCACGATTGCATCGGCTCGAACCCTGTACTGCGAGCCTTGGCGCAAGAGTCCCGACGCCAACGCCTGTTCTTGAAGGGCACCCCTGATGGGGCCACCCTTCTCTGCTACATGACGTGTGGCTCTCTCAGCGAAAGGGTGAGGCTAGGAGGCCTCGCCAATGTTTGCTAACGTGGGCCCACGTCCGCTCACCTTCGAACTCGCCTCAGCCGCATCCGCCGCCGGCCCCATCCTAACCGCAGGCGTGGGACTCTCCCGCTTGACGGGCTGGTGCCGCTTGCTGATTTCACTGATGCCTTGGACGGCGGTGTGTCCCAGGCTTCGACGGGGAGTGTGGGGATCTGGCCACTGGGTGTCCTGCCCCCGCTGAGCGTGGTGCAGGGACCCTGGTGGTCTCCTCCCCTCTCCCGCGCCTTAGCTTCCTGTGTTGTGATGTGTCTCATCTACTCGAATCTAATATAACCTAATCAAATCGGATGTAATCTTATAAACTACGTAGCCCCCCACGGATGCGGATAAGAGTGAATGGGCGGTGGGGACGTCGGCAGTTTGCGTGACTCTGGAGAAGCCCGCCGCAGGCGCCAAAGTCGCACATTTTGTACAACGAGCCCGCCGCAGGCGCCAATTTTTTCGTTAAACCAATGTGGGTTTGTCGCGGGGTGGGTCGCGGGTGGGTCGCAAATGGGTCGCGGGTGGGTCGCTGTTGGGTGGCGGGTGGGAAATCCATCCCATAATAATCATAAACGCACACAAGGAATGAATCGAGCAGGGCAGGGCTGCTTAGTAAACGCCCAAAGCCGTTTAGTCAGATCGAGGGGGCTGAATGGAACGGTCATTCACTGTCCCTGGAAGCGTGGCTGATGTTGTGGGATTCCGCGATGCTGATTCTTGTTGTTTTTGTTAATGTTTGTTGTTGTTTGCTGTTGTCGTCGTCCCACCCTCGACCCGCCCCGCGACCCACCCGCGACCCACCCACCGCGACCCACCCGCGACCCACCCCGCGACCCACCCGCGACCCGCCCCGCGACCCACCCGCGACCCACCGCGACCCCATTTGCGACCCACCCCGTGACCCGCCCGACCCACCCCGCCCGACCCACCCGCGACCCACCGCGCGACCCACCCGCGACCCCCGCGACCCACCCGCGACCCACCCGACGACCCACCCGACGCGACCCACCGCGACCCACCCGCGACCACCCCGCGACCCACCCAAAATTTTCGGCGCCTGCGGCGGGTTTCTTTTGCATTCGTTCCAGGTGGAGAACCTGCGACCCACCCGCGACCCAAACCGCGCCCGCACCCGCGACCCACCCCGCGACCCACCCAAAATGTTCGTCGCCTGCGGCGGGCTTCTTTTGCATTTGCTCCAGGTGGAGAGCCTGCGACCCGCCCGCGACCCAAACCGCGTTCAGTGTATAAATCAAAAATTTCGGCGCCTGCGGCGGGCTGTTTTTGAATCCCTTCCCGGTGGAGGTGGAGACCCTGCGACCCACCCGCGACCCAAACTACGTGCCCTGAACAAGCCAAAACTTCGGCGCCTGCGGCGGGTTTCCTTTGCATTCGTTCCAGGTGGAGAACCTGCGACCCGAACCGCGTCCAGTGTACGAATCAAAATGTTCGGCGCCTGCGGCGAACTGTTTTTGAATCCCGTCCAGGTGGAGGTGGAGAGCCAGCCACCCACCCGCGACCCAAGCTACGTTCACTGAACAAGCCAAAACTTCGGCGCCTGCGGCGGGTTTCTTGTGCATTCGTTCCAAACGGAAGAGGAGAAGGAGGAGGAGGAGGAGGAAAAGGAGGAAGAGGAGAAGGAGGAGGTGGAGGAGGAAAAGGAGGAAGAGGAAGAGGAGGAGGAGGAGGTGGAGGAGGAGGAGGCGGACGACGACGAGGACGACGATGAAGACGAAGACGCGGACGAGGAAGAGAAGGAGGAGGAGGAGGAGGAGCAGGAGGAGGAGGGGGAGGAGAAAGGGGAGGAGGAGGAGGAGGAGGGCGTCATCGACAGGGAAGGTGGGGGCCACGAGGTCCGCAAGCTCGACGCCCGCGTCGCCCGCGCCTGCCCCCTCACTCTTATCCGCAATTGCGGGGTGCTACGTAAACGTCAATTTTCGGGCCCGGGTGTTTTTTCCTCTTTTGAGGGTGGGTCGCGGGGTGGGTCGCGGGTGGGTCGCGAAGTGGGTCGCGGGTGGGTCGCGGATGGGTCGCGGATGGGTCGCGGGGTGGGTCGCGGGTGGGTCGCGGGGTGGATCGCGGGTGGGTCGCGGGTGGGTCGCGGGGCGGGTCGGGGTGGGTCGCGGTTTGGTCGCGGGTGGGTCGGGGGGTGGGTCGCGGGGTGGGTCGCGGGTTGGGTCGCGGGTTGGGTCGCGGGTGGGTCGCGGGTGGGACGGCGACAACAAGCAACAACAACAATCATTCCAAGACTATGCGCTCCTATTGGCCCGCGTGTCAGTCACCATGCATATCTCAAACCATGGATACCCGCAGCCCTCGTCTTCGATCCTACCCCATTTTGGGGGGTTATATTCCTTCCTGGCCACGTGGAATTGGAGAAGCCCCTGAACATGGGAAGGAAATGGGAAAAAACGAAAAGATAAGACGAAGGGATCGGAGGAAGGGAGGGACTAGAGGGGCAAGAAGAGGGGGGCGACAATGATTTGTGCCGCGAGTTGCGATTCAGCTTGCGCCATGGCTTGCGCCAGCCATTCCAACATACGTTAACAAAGGCTTCGCCCTGGGTCGCGCCACAAACAGCGCCATGTAACACCTCTGGTGCTGTTTGGCGAGGTGTTGGAGGCGGAAGTGGTGCCCGATGCACCCAGAGCGCTGCAGGGCCAGGGTGGGTGAGAGGAACCAGCAGGAACCGCGGGCTTCGTTGCTGCTGCACGACATGCGGCATTCATGGCGAGCGGGGAACCCGCATAGTGGTAGCGAGAAGTGGGAGGCGAAACAGCAATCGGAGGCAGCGAGCTCTGGCACTTGTCTGTGGGATGCGGCAGTCGACACTGAGACGCCATTACACTAGCTATAACGCTGTGGTCACCGCGTGCAGGATAACGACCTATGGCAATGGACAGTGTTGTTGCCCAGCGGCCCCGTGAGGTGAAACTGTGAGGAAGTCACAGGTGGGAGCGCCGATCCTGAGAACATTGGGAGGAAGTCTCAGGCGGGAGCGGGGGTCCTGAGTAAAGTTGGTGGAAGTCTCAAGCGGGAGCCGTTGTTGTTGTATTCCGGGAGAGCAACAACGCAGTTTGACTCAGACTAAATTGTGAGGAAGTCTTAAGCGGGAGCGCCGTTCCTGAGTAAATTGGGAAGAAGTCTCAGACGGGAGGGGGGGGCTGAGCAAATTTGGAGGAAGTCTCAAGCGGGAGGCGTTGTTGATGTAGTCCAGGGGGCTAGGGCCCCAGTTTGACCAGGAAGATTTCCCTGTCAAAAAACAGGGTGCGAGCGTCGAGGGGCACACTTTGATATGCACCAGTGAGGGGGATCAACAATAATCATTCCTCAGAAGTTATTTCAACGCAACAAGCAGACTTCACATCACGAGCTCTCCATTCAGCCACGCACCCAGGGACAATGAATGACCGCTCGGCCCCCTCATTCTGACGATTCTCCTCCGTCTCCTCCACTTCCTCCTACTCGTCCTCCTCCTTCTACAACTACTCAATATGAATACTACTCTCCCTCTTCCCCTGATGGCGTGCTGGGAATATTCGACCCCCCCCCGCGTACTGTTTTTTACACACAAGATTCCCGGGAGTTGGGTTTTCGCCTGCGTTTTTTTGTCAAAATGCTGCTCTCGCTGAAGCGCCGGCCTCATTTCTGCTCCCGAATCGTTCCGAATCGTGCTCCCGCTGCAGCGTGGGCCTCATTTTCGGATCGGTGTTTTGCCTCCGTCGTTCAGGATGGCGTTCTCGCCCCAGCGCGGGCCTCTTTCTCGCGCGCTCTTTCTTTCTCGCGCGCTCATCCGCCCGCCACCACCGCGCCGCACCACGCCCCGCCCCGCCGCACGCACACCCACCGCCACTTCCACCCACCAACGCACGCACGCACGCACGCGCACCACCACCGCGCACCGCCACCACCACCGCACTACCCCACCCACCACCACCACGCTACACCGCGTCACACCACATCACACGCGCGCACACACAGACACACACGCACACACACACACACACACATACATACACACGCACACACACACACACACGCACAGACACAGACACACACACACACACACCACCGCCACCACCACCACCACCGCCATCACGCACGTACGCACCTGGCCCACCACCAAACCACCAAGACGCCACACCACGTCACACCACAGCACACGCGCACACACGCACACACACACACACATACACACCACCACCACAACAACCACAACCACGCACACACGCACGCACGCACGCGCACCACCACCCACTACGCACACGCGCGCGGAGCCACAGGTCCGCTACGACACGCGTCCGCGGATAGAGAAAATCAGCGCCATGGTAAGGGATGGGAGGGAGGGGTAGGATGTCAGATGTTGACGCGAGCGCACCTGACTTGCCTCCTCCCCCTCCCCCTCCTCCTCCTCCTCCTCCTCCTCCTCCGCCTCGTCCTCCTCCTCCTCATCATCAACATCAGCATCACCATCATCATCATCAGCATCATCATCATCATCATCATCATCATCATCATCATCATCATCATCATACTCATCATCGTCGTCATCATCATGATCAGCATGAGCAGCATAAGCATCAACATCATCAGCACAATCACCATCATCAGCATCAGCATCATCATCATCATCATCATCACCGTCATCCCCCTCATCCTCTTCTCCTC